TTTGAAGACTAATTAAATAAATTCTGGAACATGCATATAAATTATTATGCAGACATTAAAAAGAATGAAGCAAAACTTCACATATGCTTATATGGACAGAGGTACAAAACAACCTACTAAAGACAATTAAAGGTTACAAGAGAGCACAGGACTTTCAGGGTAACTGAGGAGTTTATCAAAGTTCTTCCATAAAAAGCAACAATAAAAGCTGACTGAATAGTTAAAAACAATTTTAGAACTCTGGAAACATATTGAAGGGATATGATAAATGGAAAATACAATAAATCTGTTTGTGAAAAACTGCTAAGTCTCAGGTAAGAAGGGTGGGAGCCTGTGGATTTTGTCTGGGAATGCTTCCATCCCTCCTCCCCACCCAGATGATGCGTGAGTTCCACTAGGATGGTAAACCACAAGAAACAGAAGAAGGAGGTTCACTCAACTTCAAAGAAGGAATGAAAAAGCTTCATGCCCAGCAGCACTGTCAATATTAGTAGCAACCGGTAGTGAATGACCAGAGAAGATCAGTCAGCAAGTCTAATAATCAGGTTTGGGGTGGCACAAGCAACAAACAGAAAGACTGGCAGATTAGCCACAAATTTACCAGCCATGCAGAGCTTTGATAGTTCTCTGCCTGATAGTGAGTGTGTGTCCATGCAAAGGGGATACAAGGATTCCTGGCAGAAAGTAAAAGCCAGGGCAAATGGGGACCTGACTATACTCCCCATGACAGCCAGTTCCATCTGCAGAAGGTGAAAGCCCTACAGACACAGGTGTTAAGCACAACCTCTGACAAGTCACTGGTCGATCTCTCAGCAATGCTGACCCAGAGAAAACTCCTAGAAGGCCAGGCTTAAGAATAAAATTGAGAAATAAAAAAATTAACAAAACTTTGGACCACGAAGGAGACAGACTGCAGTTTCAGTCCAAATAAATTATTAAAGAACAGAAAAAACCTACAACAACAACCCTCTGGGAAATAATGAATCGGAATCAGATTCATTACAAAACATTAGCTAAAATGGGGTGTTCTCACCAATAACCTAAGAGACATGCAAAGATGTGAAAATATCACCCATACCCAGGGCAGGAAGAAACTTCCCAGGAGAGGACTCAAATCTGGACTAGCAAAAAAGATTTTTAAAAACCCAAAATAACTATAATGCAAAGTTACATAGAGGAGTTCATCAAAAGATTTGAGATGGCACAAGAATGAATCAGTGAACTTGAAGGTAAGTCAACTAAAAGTGTTCACTCTGAAAAACGAGAAAAGCAGATGAAGGAAAATGAGTCTGAGATATCTCTAGGGCACCATCGAATGTACCAACATAACATAATGGGAATCCAGAGGTTGAGAGGGTAGGGGAGGAAAAGTAAGGTGGGAAAAAATCCGAGAAACATTGGGTGAAAACTACCCACATCTGAAGACATAAATCCACATATCCACAAAGCTTAATGAACAAGAAAGATAAACATGTACACCAAAGTCAAATTGTTGAAAATGAAAGAGAAAGCCTGAGTAGCAGCAAGAGAAAAACAACAGATCATGTACAGAACAAAATAATTAATGACTCTTCCCATCAAAAATAGTGGAGGTTATAAAATAGATGGTCTTTTACTACCTAACCGCCAACCAAGAATTATGTACAGGTATAATTCAGAGATATTGTGGGTTTGGTTCCAGACCACTGCAATAAAGCAAATATTGCAATAAAGCAAGTCATACAAAATTTTTAGCTTCTCAATGCCTAGAAAAGTTATGTCTAACATTATACTATAGTCTATTAGCATGCAATAGCATTGTGTCTTAAAAAAAAAAAAGTACCTACCTTAATTAAAAAATATTTTATTGCTAAAAACTGCTAACCATTATTTGAGCTTTCAGTGAGTCCCAGTAGTAATAGTAGTAATAAAGATCACTGATCAGAGATCACCACAACAAACAACAGAATTAATTTTTTAAAAAGCTTGAGATACTGTAAAAATTACCAAAATGTGACACAGAGACATGAAGGAAATAAACGTTATTGGATAAATGATGCCAACAGACTTGCCTGACACAGGGTTGTCACAACCTTCAATTTGTAAAAAACATAGTATCTCTGAGGCATAGTAAAATGAAGTGCAATAAAAAAAGTATGTTTGTAAACTAAACTTTAGGATATAGGTGAAATAAAGACATTTTGAGAAAAAAAGAACAATTTTGCTAGCAGACCCATGTTACAAAAAAGACTAAAAGAAGTCCTTCAGGCTGAGAAGAAGCAACATCATATCATATGGCAATTCTATTTGCATAAAGAAATGAACAGCACCAAAAATAATAAATGTGTGTGTTAATGTCTATATAAATACTGTACTACAAACCAATATCCCCTATGATTATAGATGTAAAAATCCTAAAACTATTAGTAAGCAAACCCCAGCAACATATAAAAGGGACTATATATCAAGTTGGTTAAATCCTAAAACCAAGTAGGACTTAACCTTGGACTGCATGGTTGGCTTGACATCTGAAATTCAACTATGCAACACACTAGGATTAACAGAATAAAGAAGAAAAATCACATGATCATTTCAATGGACAGAAAAAAGCATCTGGCACAATCCAACACCCATTTGTGATAAAATGAAAACAAAACCAAAAAACCTCTTAACAACTAGCAATAGAACTTCAACATGATAAAGAGTCGCAATAAAAAAGACCCTATAGCTAACATCACACTTACTGGTAAAAGACTGAAAATAAGAAAAGGATTTCCATCTTCACGTCTATTCAACAAAGCGTTGAAAAAGTTCTAGTTAGTGCAATAAAGAAGAAAATAAAATTAATAAAAAATGAAAGGCATCAGATAGGAAATGAAGTAGAGCTTCTTTATTCACAGATCACATGACTCTATGCCCTTGTGGCCATCCACACGCTAAAACTAACAAACACATCCAGCAAGGTCAAATAAGATCAACTCCATTTCTGTACGCTAGGAACCGTCTGAAAATCAAATTTAGAAAAACAGTTCCATTCACAGTAACATCGAAAAGTATATAATACTTAGAAACAAATTTAACAAAAGAAATGCAAGCCTGGGATCCTGAAAACTATAATAAAACACTGCTGAGAAAAAAATTTAAGTATCTTTTTTAAAAACAGAGAGACATTTCAAGTTCATGGATAGGAAGAGGTAATATTGTTAAGATGGAAATTATCCCCAAAGTGATCTTCAGATTCTATAGTGTCAAAACCCTAAGAAATTTTTTTTTTTTTGTAGAAATCCACAAGCTAAATGTAAAAGAAACATAAAAATGCAAAGCAGCCAAAAAAGACCAAACGACTTTGAAGAACACAGCTGCAGAACTTACACAACCTGGCTTTCAAAATCTGCCCTAAGGCTGCAGTAGTGAAGAGCACGGTCCAGGCATAAGGACAGGTACATTAATCAATGGAACAGAACCGAGAACACTGAAATAAATTCATACATTTATATGCAGTTCATTTTCAATACTGGTGCCAAGGCAATCCAACAGGGGTAGAATTAGTATATGGTGCTGGGACTACTGGATACCTACATAGAAAAAGATAAATTTAGATGCTAAATCTAGTGCCATAAACAAAAATTAACTTTGAATGGATCATAGACTTAAACCAGAGAGTTAACACCATAAAATGTTAAGAAAACACAGCAGAAATTCTTTGTGACTTTGGGTTAGGCAAGAGTCTTCTGGCCTGCTCAGGTTCAAGGTGAAAGCAGTTGGAACCTGTGTCTTGGTGGAAGAGTGGAAAGAGACAGGGTGGAGGCCTGCCACGGCCACCTCTGGGAACAGTCTCTCCAGTTTGGCTGAGCCGGCACTCCCCAGTCCATACTGAATGACCACGAGGGGAGTAAACCTCTCCTTCCTCTTGTCAGAGTCGCAATTTTAAAGTCATTTATATAAATATCTGAATCTAACCTGTCTCTCCCATTACATAAGCCCCATAAGGGCAGGGACTATGTTGTGTATTGGTTTACACGTGTCTATCAAATAGAAAGCACTTAAAAACTTTGTTTTTAAACTAAATGAATAATAGGATCGTCTTAACTGGCTTGACAGAACCATAAAAAGTTAACTATATTAAGTTCCCAAATTAAAGTACTTAATCCAATCTTATGCCCTGGTTTTTCCAAGGCAGTCATGATTTATAACATGCTTTCCCTACAAATATGACAGTTTCCTCACAGATAATGTAATCATGACACAGGCTGCAGTACGCAAGTCAATCTACTGCATTTATTGAGCACGATCTGACCCCAGACAGCTGTTAGTGGAGGCGACAGTTTCTCTATAGTAAACTGTCTGAAGAGGTTCAATTTCTGTTTTTTTTAAATCTAGACAGGTCCAAGTTTTTGTTTTTTAAATCTAGAACATGCAAATTATACAGAAGGCCTACATTAACTCTTGTAGTGGAAATAGGGATATATTCTCTTTAAATTATCATATTCTCAGCAACGTCAAGGTGTCTGAAAGGATTAATACGACCACTAACTGTTAAGAAAACATAAATGTCCGCACAGCACCCTTCCTCTCTGTGCTCGTCTGCTCTTGTCTGTCACCCTAGTCAAGCTACACAGAAATCGTCTGCATGCACCTTTCCCTAAACCACACAGCCGCGAGGCTGGGGCCGCGCTCAGTCCACACGCCAGCTCCAAGCACAGCGCCTGGCTCGTGGCCGGCACCACCGAGCTCGTGCTGCGTAGCAACGAACCTGTGAGGGGACTTCAGTGTCACAACCCAAAACACAAACTACTGACTGCTCTTCACCTTTCTTCCTGGGTCACCTGAGCTGTATTGCCTCGTCTCTTTCAAAATCCCTGGCCTCACAGAAAAAGAAGGAAAGATGCCAAGTAGTTCACAGGGACACGTTAGCAGATCAAGCGCTATGCTAATAACAATTGCTGATTAGAATTATCCAGAATTAAAACAAAGGGAGAACTTTCAAGTACCAATTAATTATCAAGAAACATTGTACTAACTGGAATGAGGAACTTTTTGATTTCTTCCAGAGCATGTCCCATCCGGGCATAGGCTTCTGCTGGGGGTGCAAAAACTTCAATGAGAACGTGGAGATCATCATTGAGATGGAAGTACTTTGCTTCTCCACTTTTCCTCAACTCTTCTTCCTGAAGAAAGAAAAGCCATGTTTAAAAGGGTGTCATTGTAAGAAAAGAAAAAGAAAATAAAAACTACCAAGTTTATTTAGCACATGGTGGTCCTAAAGATTCACTCAGCAGCAAACAACACCCAAGAAAGTACATTTGAAACACATACATGATTCTGTCATTCTCAGGGTCTTTACGGAGACTCCACAGGCTTCCTGCTGCACGGGAGGAAGCCTCCAGTCCTGCCTCTGGCCCTGGAGTCCTCCTGCTGTCTAGCCAAGGCCATGCGTGCCGGCTGACTCTCTTCACCCGCCCAGCCTTGCTGGCTCACCCCCACCCCAGGCATGCAGAGAACTCCTCTTTGCTCCTCCTGACTCTCTTCACACCCCCAGCCTTGCTGGCTCACCCCCGCCCCAGGCATGCAGAGAACTCCTCTTTGCTCCTCCTGACTCTCTTCACACCCCCAGCCTTGCTGGCTCACCCCCCAGGCACGCAGAGAACTCCTCTGTGCTCCTCAAACGGGCCGCCCAGCCAGGCCCGCGTCTGTGCTGGTTACACTGTGCGTATCTATCAATCTATCTAAAACACTTAACTGTTGGTCCATTTTCTAATCTCTCACTTAAAGTGGCTGCCACGGAGCAGAACCCACGGTTGTCTTGTTTTACTGCATGCTTCTGCGTCTAGAAAAGCGCTTGGTAAATAGTAGATGCTCAATGAATATTTCTGAATGAGTAGGTAAATATTCATTTTTATGTTCATTTGCTCATTCATATATTCATTCAAAAAATATTTCCAAATGCCAGGCCCTATACTCTGTGTGAGAAGAAAACAGTGAATAAAATAAATGAAAATTTTTATATGATTTTATTTAATTATGAGAAACATTAAAAAAAACTTTGGTTGATATAATGAAATTCAGGAGAAGAAAACAGGAGGCGGGGGGACTCAGATCATAAAGGGACCACTAACTTTGCTCCATTAGCTTTTTCAACAAGCCTTCATTAGAGCAATAATTACTATTCTGTCATTGTTCTCAACATTAAGATCAGACAGACAAACAAAGATTAGTAGGAACCTACAACCGGAGAGATTTCCAAAAGGCAGAAATCCCTGCAAGCCGCTCCACAAAACCTACCCTGTAGGAGAGTGAGCCCAGGGATTCCTGCCAACAGCACCTGCGGGTCCTGGAATCAGCCAAGAGGCCAAAGAGGCACACACACCCTGAATTTAAGGCCTTAACTTTTGTTAGTTAACTAATTTGAATTCTTATGAAGAAAAGCAATCAAAATACAGAGCATGAAAAGGGCAGCGGACCTAGAGCCAGACAGACCTGAATTTTAGCCATGTTGGTCAACATGGGTGTGAGTCTGAACAGATTATATGTAATCCAACACTTGATCTGCAAAATCAATTTGGTGTCAGGGCTACCCTCCATAGCTCAGTTGGTAAATCACTTGCCTGCAATGCAGGAGACCGGGGTTCGATTCCTGGGTCGGGAAGATCCCCTGGAGAGGAAATGGTAACCCACTCCAGTATTCTTGCCTGGAGAATCCCACGGACAGAGGAGCCTGACAGGCTACAGTCCAGGGGATCGCAAGAGTCAGACACGACTTAGCGACTAAACCATCACCACCACCACCACCACCACCACCACTAAACCACAATATGTATATGAGTACCCTGGTGGTCAGATAGTAAAGACTCTGCCTGCAGTGCAGGAGACCCAGGTTTGATCCCTGGGTCGGGAAGATCCCCTGCAGAAGAGAATGGCAACACACTCCAGTTTTTTTGCCTGGGAAATCCCTTGGACAGAGGAGCCTGGCAGGCTACACTCCATGGGGTCACATGAGTCAGACACGACTGAGAAACTATGGCTATGTATATGAATGCAGGTCCACTGAGATGACTAAAAAGGCAATTTGTGTAAAGGGTGGCAAAGGAGATGGTGTATATAGTGCCCAGGACACTCCTTGTGTGTGGCAGGTACTCAGGAAATTCTAGTTTCCTTCACGTTTATGGAAAGTGGACCAGAGAACGAAAGAAAAGGAAAAAAATCATTTGAAGGGAGAGCAAATACAAGCTACCTATGCGTTTCCTTCAAAATTTGTCAAGTGTGAAAAGGACTATTCTTTATGCCAATGGTGGACTAGTTCTTGTCCTAATCAGAATATTTTCATTATTTGATCTGACACTCTGCCTTTCAAAGTTGAGGTCTTAAAAACTGGATTCTATGCCCCGTAGTTCATCTTTGAAAACATGAACTACTGAAGTAAACATTTCTTATCTTTTTCTATTAATGGTACCAAGCTAATGCTTTTAATGAGATTATAACTGTTGATTCACAGGCAAACATTTTCACTTCTATTACAAACTGAAGCTGGAACAGGGAGGCTTTCTGACCATAACCACAGCTGTCCTGCAACTCCACAGAGTGAGCAGTTATTACTGGGTTTCTTCTTGGGTTAATGACGAGAGGCAATGCTCTGTTTAGGGAAGAACACAGACTTTATTATAGAGTTCTGCATTTAAACCCCAAATCCAACAACTGGTCAGGTTATTTTATCTTTATCTTGAAGAGGTGATTTTAAAATGAATAATAATAATGTAGTACCTACTGCTCAAAGGGTTGTTATAGTAATAAAGTAACCATTATAATAGTCATTAGGAGTTATTAGTAATAAAGGTGTTGGAGCCTTTCAAAAGACATCGGAAGTCTTTAGAATTATGCTTAGCATATAATAAGCACTCAAATAATAAATATAGTAATGATAACTATTGTAATATAATGACAGTGTTAATTATTGTATTATCCTATAACAAAGACACTGTGGGCAAACATTCAGCATGTCTGGCACAAACTGAAAGCTCAACAGACCATAGCATTTTAGTGATTATTATGCTATATAACCCGTTGATACATGTCAGTAATGAATCCTACAATTTTATCAATATAGCAAGTACAAGAAGAAGATGAATTATGTTCACATTAGAACTTAAACGATGAACACTATAAAGGGTGAGATTGTAATACTAGGGAATAGAAACCTCTTTAGAAATAAACATTATTAATGGAGGACTTCTGTAGACTACAAGTCAGTAAAAAGGATAAACTGAAGTTAGGCAGTGAGGATCTGACTACTACCTGGCAGACAGGACATATCTGTCGCTGAAACGATCACTGTGGTTACTGTCAGGGAGACGCTTCTGAAGGTGTAAGCCATGGACCACATGGCACAGCATGATGGGCGAGAAGGAGACGAGGTGGGCAGGATGGGGTGAAATGGGCTCTTTCTACTGCACTGAAGAGTTCAAAGATGGAAACGGCAGACTCAGGACTTGACATGATCAGTTCAAGGCCCGAAGAGCCAGAAGTATCCCAGAAGGTTTTCCTGCTGTGGCCACAGGGTACTGGAGCCAAGGGACCAGGCAGAGCTTGGGCATGTATAGCTGAATGACCAGCAGACTGCGGCCATCCCTATGGGGGACTAAGGACAGTGTCTGGAGGATCATGAAACCCTGAGAGCTGCATGGGCAACATCTGGAAGGATCCGAGTGACTCTGAGTACAAACACTAAGTCCCACTGAGCCTTCCACACTGGTAAAAGCCTGTCTTGAACCGCCAAGGAAGCTGCTTAAAAGAAGATGACAATTCTCATACTTTCCTTCTGCTATCCTTTATCACCTCCTGGCCAAAGACTGGATCCCTGCCTGCCCCGGGAATGCAGAAAATAAAAGAGCTGAGCTAAATCTAGAGGAGAAGGCTGCACGAGGACAGTAACTGGTATGTGTGTACTAAACATTTACTCCCAGTCTTTCCAACAAGGATCTGGGACCTCTTACTCTAATAAGTGTACACTTAAAAGGAGAAATACTCAATACAGTTTGAGGACAAACAGACTCAATTCTGAGCAAATGATGCTCTGCTGAAGGCCACCAATGAGACTGGGGTTTATGGGGTCAAGAGATAAAGTGCTTCTGGTCCTGGTCCCCTGACAGTGGGCTCAGTAGACTATGCTACATCCTCAGCTCCTAGGTGCCTTGATGGGATGTAAACGATCAGCATTTGAACAATCCCCATACTGACCCACTGACTGATGTGTTCAAGGGCATAGAAATGAGAGATTTGTGAAGGGGTGATACCTGGTCTGGGAAAGAGGCTCGAGCGTGTAATAACAGGGAGTCCCATGTGATGCTGAGCATGCCCTCTGTGATCAGGTACCCACTGCAACAGATGTCAAAGCACCTCACTCCCAGCCCCCTCAGTGCTACTCATGGTCGTGACTGCAGCACACAGACTGCCCTCAAAAAGGATTCCTGGCTCCTGTCACTGCTGACTGTCTAACACGCCAGCAGCAGAGAACAATCACCAGCCCTTAAAATGGCCACAAGATCTGGGAGGGCCACCAGGCATGGTGAGCGAGCTGACATGGTTTAGGACCCCTCTGATGACACCAGCCAGGCACTTGCTCTTTGGACGTACAATACGGCCGAGGCGCTGCCTCCCCTGCTTCCTTCTTCCCGTAAAACCATCTGTGGGCTCCCTGATCACTGGCACAGAACATTGCTTCTCAAGAAGGAAGGCCCTTAATAACAAACAAGCAGCACAAAGTGGACAGGTTTCACTGGCTGTATCATGGACTTCATTACCAGATGGACTTCCTGAAAACTTAAGACATCCGCAAAGACGGGATACTTTCCAGTAAGACACACACAATTTCTGACCAACTGACCCATGTATGGTTCCATGTTCTCCTCCTGCCACAACAGGTGAGTCAGGGAATCAGAGGAACATCATTTGTCGACAGTGATGCTTCGTGAGCAGTTCACCTGACCTGGTGTGCATCAGAATCCCTTAAACACCTATTGAAAGTTCATTTTGAGGTTCCACTGAAACAGGCTGTGGTGACTCTATTTTTAAACAATATCTCATATGACTGTGATATGTAGCCATGTTTTAATAAAGTAATATAAATTCCACTGATAAACCTGGATAACAGATTTAGGTTCTCTGAATCTCACTTTTCTGACACAAAATAAGAAAAATATTATGTATCTGTCATTACTTTTCCAAGGATAACATGCAGTAATAATACATGTAAGATGGTGCACAGAGTACCTGACTCACAGTGGCTTTTAAATAAACAAATGGTGGCTTTTTTTTAATTATAAAAGCTATTGTTTAGATGGAATTTTTTGTGAGGAGGCTGAATTTTGTCTAAATATGCTTTCTGTCTGACACAATAATTGTTCAACATTTCATGGAAAGTGATCATTGAAAGTGGGTTTCATTCTCACTAATATAAATCTTTTAATAATGAGAGAACAATAAAATAATAATAGAAAAACATAAGCGATACCACATTATGAAATGTGAACATTTTGTTCAGAATTATTATATTTAAGAAAGTGATCAATAAAAATAATTCAATAATTTTAGTTTATTAAGAAAAGAGGCAGTCATGTGAATACATCCAAGTAGAACAACTATGTGCCAGGTTAGGAAGCAATTAACAAAACATTTATGATCAATTTTAACTTGATAAAAAATGCACAGGGTAACAAAAGAAGGGCAAAAAGAGCAAATAAAAGCATATACTTTAAAAACTCAACAATATGAAACACAGGCATAGAAAAAAAGACCCAAAGAAACTAATCTAAAATGCAAATAGTGATGCTGAGATGTTAGATAACTTACCTCCTCACGATAATTTCAATACAACTGCACTTTCTAGAAGGTATTGCTTCTAGAATCAAAAGCATGGTGCTACTATTTCACTCCATAAATTAAAATAATAGTTACAGATTTTGGTTTAAGATACTACATATTCTGAAATTGGCCTGAGTGACCCAACTTTCTGAATAGTGTCACAAATGTATCACCATATACAGCATTTTCCTATAATTTCACTTGGGATCCTAGCTAGCTTTTATGTAACACGCATTAACGCCGTGGACGATCTGAAAGCACATTATATGCCTTGACTGAAACAGCAGCCATTGTTTATAGCAAGTTTTACCTTCGCCTTGTCTCTCATGGAGCCTTTGCCAAGGATGGACATTTTTGTTAAGGTTTCTTCTTGTAAACGCTTCAGAGAATTTCCACGTGGCCCCAAAAGTTTTCCCACAAAGTTGAACTAGGAAAAATAAAAAAAAAAACAACTTGTAACATTCGTATCTGAAGAAAGCAATTTATTTCCTGAATTTTAGGAGACACTGCAGTGTGCTGCACATCACTGATTAATGACAAATAATTTAAGTTCCTGCTATAGCATCACCCTACAACGTTTCCCACAGACTGCATCAAATAGGGCTTTTAAAAAGGGTAAAATTTCAAAACACATGTATTTCTTCCTAGCAAGTCACTCCAGTGGTGACTGTATTTGTTACAAACTGTAAGTGAAGTTAATTCCCAGAATTCCTCGGTTGCCCACATCCACTCAATACCAACCACGAGCAGCTGGGGGAAACAGTCTCAGGTGTCCTGTAAGGTGCTCCAACTGTCACCACGAAGCGCCTGCGTTCTTCCACCTGGCGAGCACCCAGGCCGGAGTTAATCAGCCCTGAGGGCTGGTCTGGGTGCCCACCCATCCAGTCAGCCGAGACACCTAGGGCTCTGCTGAACACGCAGAGTAGCAGCGAATTAATCAGGAGAACTACAGACTGAGGACTCTAAAATCTGGCTATACCATTTTTCTGCTGAGAGACCCTGGGCTTGGGGTAACCAGGCCCTGGTATCCTCATCTGTGACATGGGAATCACAAATGGCAACAGGACTTCTCCTCACAGGTCTATTCTGAGGATTAAGTGGGTCCACACAAATAAATAATTTAAAATAATGCATGGCACATAATAGACAATAGATAACAACTGAATGAACTAAGTATTGTTAGGAATTTTACATAACTTTTAAAACCCTTATGGTAATTAAGAATCCTGCGTGCTTTCAAATAGAAAATCAGCCCTATTTACCAAGAGAGAAACGTCTCTTTGGCCAGGTTGTTGATTACAAACTCATGGTGGTTCAGCTGTGATATGAGCCACATTCCAGGAGTTACGCCACTGTTGTGCAGTTGCTGTTTTTTTAAGACAAAATCGTTTCTAATGTCTCTGTGGTAATTGAAGCAATTTTCCTGAAATATGTACTTTAAAAAAAAAAATCAAAATGGTGCTTTTTTCTTTGCCCACTTTCTATCTTATTGGTCTTTAACAAAAACTAAATTCTCTATTTTTAACCTTTACATGTAATTACTTCTTGCTTTTTAAAATTTAAGTAAGTTACTTAAAAACTATAGAGGTGAAATGTACAGAGTTTAAAATATCAAATAATACTACAAAGTGGGGGGAAAGAAATCAATCTCTCAACCCACCCTACCTTATTCTTGTTCTCCATTTTCTCTGTTTTATCTTTCTGGAAGTTCTCCTGTTTGGACACTGGGCCTACTGAATAGGGTCTAAGTTTCTCTTATTCCTCCTCATTCCTTCATCTCTCTGCTTTACTTTCAGGGAGATTTAATTATATTTCCTATACATCCACTGTTTTTTTTCATTTCTGCTATCAAATGTTTTAACCACCAACAGTATTTTCTTACGCTGGTTCCTTCTTTGTGGCATTTAAAAACATTTTATGGAAGTGATGCGAGTTCTTATCTTTCTGAGGCTGGTAATGGCACTAGGTGCCCCACCCCCACACCAGGAAGCTTCCAGTAACAGTATGTGTGTCTTCCACAGATGCCTCTTACCCTTTTTGTTTGGAGAATTTATTTCCTGCTACATTATGGGTTTTCCTCACATGACTGGTCACCCTCTGCTTTTTGTTTTTAAAATTTTTAAACTGAAGCTAAAATGCTAACTGGACTTTCTGCTTCTGCACATGCGTGCAACCTGACAACCGTATGTAACAATCCACCGCAACACAGTGGCCCGGTTCTATCATCCAAAGCTATTCAGACATCAATGTCCGCGCTGCATTTCTCTGCTCTTGTGCTAGGCATTTCCCTGAATAGGGATTCCCTAACTCCCTAGGAGGAGGAACACGGAGAGACTCGCTGTGAAGCACACACACCTCTACTTAAAGGGACACTTCCCTCATCTTCAGTGCGCACCTCCCTGCAGCCCTGAGCTCCATCCATCTGGGTCTCAGAGCCAAAGCTGCTCTCGCTCAGACTCTCAGGAAATCTCCCGTCCCCTGCGAGGGTGAGAATGGAGGATGCTGGGTTTGCTCAGCTGGGAAGAGCATCCAGTGGTCTAAAAACCTCCACGCAGAGACTTTCCACCATGTCCTCTCTTGACAGTTCTACCCCATCAATGTAGCTCCATAGTAACTGCTATCAACAATTCCCAAGTCTTCTCAGGAAGGTTTTCCACACTAATAAGCATCTTTCTGGTTGCTTTCTCCTCCCATGCAAGCTCAGGATTCTGCTTTCTCTGGTCTCCTAAGTCATCACCACTTATCCATTTATTTTGCAACCACCAAATTAATGTTAGTTAAACTAACATCATTTGACTAAAGTTGCCTCACACGCCCATTCTTACCTTCATAGGTCTGTGCCGTTTTCATTCATTTATATTCATTTTTGCAGATTTCAAGGAGAGCATAAAAATGAGTGTTCAAACAGTCACATTTACATTACGTCTGTAATAGTTAAATGTCTACCAATTAATAAAATTAAGAGACCTTACAAAGCATCCAGCGCAAATACTGAATTTCACACCGAGGCAATGGATGTCCATGGAATATGATGCTCAAGTCACTTGACAACACATCAAACCAGGAGATTCCAGCACTCCTCTTACAGGCCCTGTGCTCTCAGGGACCAGCCTCGGGTAAGATGCACTCAGGCGTCCATTCCCTTCTGCCCCCCGCCCCCCAGCCCCCGCCAACGCCCCTCGTCCCTCACCCTCTGGGCGTCGTCCCCTCTCCGTCGGAGGTCTGACCGCGACACCTGCAGGCCTGGGGCTCAGCACCCTCTCTGTCACCTCAGCCCTTCCCTGAGCTTCTAGAAATCCTCCCAAATAAGGTCAGTCCTTCCGGAAGCCAGGGTATGTTTTCTACCTGATGGCTGCACTGGTAAGACAGACAGTAAGACCCTCGTACACATTAGTCTTCAGTTTTATTAATGATTCCATTTGTGCACAGATCTGAATAGAAGGTGAAAGTGTTACTTCCAAGACCAATGATTTTTCCCCAGATGCCAATTATTATTTGACAAATATACTATCATATTACAAATGCTACATCTGTAAATAAGAAACTTTTCAAATGATTATAAAGATGGTAAACCAGCACAGAGTATATCTAAGTTTTACCACATAACCTGTAAGATCCAATAATTATGTTCTTCCTTGGTAAAGATTAAGGAAGGACTAGCTTTAATTGATCCAAACTATATTTGTGACATGACACTGTTTCATGGGGAACAATTATAGTGAAGCTGTCATTTCACAAACAACTAAGACTCAGGAACATGTCACTGTCTCCATTAACAGGTTTCCCTTAATTGGGTGCTCACCAAAAAGTTGATTAGTCTAACAAAGGGATGCTTTACTGACCTCTAACTCAACACTAAAACTGAACTTGTAATCCTGGCCAATGTGGCATCAAACACATTACTTTTCCCAGCAAACGGCACTGCCATCCATGCAGGAGCTCAAGCCAGAAACCTAACAGTCATTCCAAGAGGGCAGCGAGGAGGCCTTCTGTACTCACTGCTCCAACACCCCTGCAGAGAGGGCATTTAATCAATGTCCAGTGAATCAATTAGTGGTAGCAATGTCACCTCCGAGATCTCTCTGAAACCTGTCTATTTCCCTGCAGTCCCAGCTCAACCACTAGTCCGAGCCATTGTCATCCCTCACCTCGCCCACAGAACTCCATCTCTGTATCCACTTCTATCTCCTTCAAGCACAGGGAGGTCTTAACAGCGTTCTGTGACCCTGTTATATGTCTGCTTATTTTTTTATTTTTTTTTTGCTATATTTTATTTATTTTTTTTAGTTGGAGGCTAATTACTTTACAATATTGTAGTGGTTTTTGTCATACATTGACATGAATCAGCCATGGATATACATGTATTTCCCATCCCGATCCCCCCTCCCACCTCCCTCTCCACCCGATCCCTCTGGGTCTTCCCAGTGCACCAGGTCCGAGCACTTGTCTCATGCATCCAACCTGGGCAGGTGATCTGTTTCTATATGTCTGTTTAAAACAAGAGGTCTGGCCACCCTTACAGGAAACTCCTCTTGGCCTGGAGCTGCCGTGCACAGCCCAGCACACTCGTGCCCACCTCCCCAGCCTCCCCACTCTCCTGACTCTGCCTTTAGCTCTCTGAACTCATTTCAGTTTCTCAAAATTCCCGTGTTCTAAGAACTATCCAGTTCAGCTCAGATGTAGAGTCACAAAGAATGTCAGTCTCACCCTTAAAACAACAAGGAAACAGAAGAGGATACCAGCTAATGCTGAAGTGCCCAGGCAAACACTAACCGCACATCTGGAGAGCATGCAAACGCCTGCGGGGCGAGACAAGACTCAAGCATCAGCTTCTTGGGATGCAAGAGAGATGACACCTTCTCAAAGGGTTTTTCTGCCAGAATCCAACAGCATCACCCCCTAACCCCCAAATGTGCACAGGGAAGATGAGAGAAGACCCCCGAGAACACCTGCCCTGGCTGGGGGCTGGGGTGGGGTGGGGAGCAGCCTCTGCTGAAACCCCAGAGCCCAGATCCCCTCTCTCGTCCTAAACAAAAGCCTGAATCTTCAAGAAGAATGGCAACAAAACCCACTTTGCTTTGTTTTTTAAAATCCTGACAAAATCAACAAAGCCTGTCCTGAGATCAGTGTCTAGCCCACAGGAAGCGTTGTTGCTGCCGCACACTGGTGATTCTCAATCTTGTTCCAGGTGCTGGGTGGAGAACAGAAGGGCCAGACAGAGAAGCAGGCGTGCAGACACATCTGTTAATTATCGCTAAGCTCTAGTGAAGGGGACAGAGGCGAGGACAGACACCATGGGTATCACGGAGGGCGGAGCAACGTCAGCCCAAGTGGGCCTGGGACCGTGGGCCTGGCTGTGTCCTAGGCAAAGGTCTGGAGCAGAGAAGCCCCTGCGCTGTGAATAGCAAATGCACAAGCCTCGGGCAC